AGATATTTCAAGGGTAAATGGAAATTATCACATTTTATTAAGGGTAAAGTGATAATTTCTCATTAAATAAATTTTAAATTTATTTACTTAGAATATAGCAAGTGTAAAGGCTAATATGCAATGTTTTCAAAACCGGACCGGACATTGAATCGGTGAAGGTACTGGTTCACTGGTTCAACCGCGGTTGAACCGGATTTTATATAAAATAATATATTTTTTTAATTTTACATAATATTCAAAACAATATTAATATATATGTAACACTTTTTTTAAGTTTACAATATTAAAAGGTATAAAAATATCACAAGTCATAACATGTATAAATGAAAAACCATAAAATCAAGTGAAACAAAATGATTTAAATCAACTACAACATAATATTTAAGGTAAAACATATTAAATAATAAATATAATTATATAACTATAATCAAAAAAATAAAATTGGGGTTTAAAAAAATCATAACAAATGATGTCATTTAGTTTAATTGTTTTAAAAAAAACAATCACACATGGCTAATAAACATAGAAGAGTATCCCAAAAGTTTAAAGAGTAAAAATATGAGAACAAAACAATCCCACATGGCTAAGAAACATAGAAGAACATCCCAACTTACTTCTATAAATAATAGAGGTAATTTGACATTCAAAATCATGGAGCCTTTTGGTGAGCACAAAGCGAACTATTCTTTCGCTTCAATTGAGCTCAAATTTTAGGCTTCAATTGAGCTCGAATTTTAGGCTTCAATCGAACTTCAAATTTTTTTTTTGAGTTCGAGCCTTTTCGATTTCAAGTTTTAATATTATATTTTGAGTTGATAATTTTTAGCTCGTGAGTTTTTGAGTCGAGTTGAGCTTACTTTTAAAGTTTTCGAGTTCGAGTTGAGCTCAGCAATACTTGAATTTGACTCGGCTCGTTGAACAAACGACGTTGTTTGGTTTAAATTTTTTTTTAAGAAAAAAAGTGAACCGGCAGTTCAAACCGGTTTTCAGCCGGTTCACCCCGGTTCTTTACCGGTTCTGTGCTAATCCGGTTTTGGGAGTTAACCAGACCGGACAGGCCATCGGTTCACGGTTCAACCGGTTGAACCGGCCGGTCCGGTCCAGTTTTAATAACATTGCTAATATGAGGGGAAAATAAGCAAAAATTGTCCATCTTCTTCCCCTTACTTCCGTGAAAACCATTGAAAGTAAGAAAAAAAATTCTTTTCCATTTTAAGTCATTTTATTTGATTTTTGGATTAAGATATTAGATAGAGAATTACCTTTTTGAAATTCTCTATTGTTTGGTATAAAACTTTCATGGAAATCATGCTTAGATGTTGAGATTCATGATTTGGGTGGTTGAAGAACATGTTTGATTTTGAAGATTTGATTGAAGATTTTTATGTTGTTGAGTAAAGCATAGGAGATGATTAAATTCAATTGTGTAAGCTTATATCATGTTTGGTCATGGTTAGGATTTATAGAAGTTGATTGAGTTGTGAATAAATTTGATGTTGTGATGATTGAAATAGCATTAATTTGATGTAAGGAGATTGAATTCATGCTTGAAATTTAATGAAAAGTGTGTCTTATATCACTAATAAGGTTCGGCCATGGTGAATTTATTTAGGGAAAAGTTTCAAAAAATTTCAATGGTTTGTATTTTATATTAGATGGATTCTACATGTCTTGGAGATTGAATTGGATCGATTTGGAGCGTTGTGTTAGTAAAGGGACCATTTTGACAAGTTTTGGATATTTGAGGGCATTGTTGTATAATTGCTTAATTGTGGGTGTTTAATGCTGGAAATTGATGTTTTAATGCTGAAATTGAAATTATAATGTTGTTTTGTATCAAAATGCAAAAGTTGGTAAAGTTTGGTGAATAATCTGAAGAGTTAGAAAGTTTGGGGTTTGAATTACAAGTTTGTAAATTTAAAGGTATTAGATTGAATATATTATATCAATGCTGGAAATTTTCATGTTGGGTTTGAATTGAATGAAATGGTGAAGGGCCATTACGAATTAAATGGAAAGGTTGATGTGAATTCTAACAAGAACTCATAATTAGTGATGTAAATGTAAAACTTTCAAAAGTTGAAGAATTGATGAGGGAATAAACATTTATGGAATCAAATAATTAATTTGTAAAGTTTAAAGTTATGATGACGTTGTGATTTAGTTTTCGTCGATTAAGTACTATTGATTATGTTTACAAAATTTATTTTTCATCGGAATTAGATTATATTAGTAGAATATTAACATATAGTTTAAAAATGGTATATGTATGTGATGTTGATCAGACTACAACAAATCTTCTGATTATAGCGATACGAAAGTAAAGGTCAAAGTACGCGAGAAAAAAGGACATCGTAGGAAAGGTTCAGTAGTGAGATAAAGGTGAGTGCATATTTAATTGATATTTATGTTATCGAACGAACATTGGTTTGCGATGAGTTAGTGAATGAGTTACTATGGTAAGAAGTGACTCCATAAATATTATGAGATTTGTGACTCATGTATAATATTCATTTGGTAAGCTAATAAAATTATGGAATAAGCTAAAGATGTTAATTAGGGGAAGGTGGCTAGAAATTATGATTTGAACAATAAGTTTAGAAAATCATCACAAATTATATAGAAGTGATTAGATGATGATCTATATACCGTTGGAGTTTTATATCAGTCTAGTTTCATTTAAAATAAACGCCTACTGATTCCTAGGTGTATACAAAATGAGATGAATTTTTAATCGATGATAGGTCAGAAAACAGGGTAGCAATTTCTGCTCAAATCAGTTTCTGCAAGTCAGCTTTGAAAATTCGCTATAAATTGTACCAGTTGAACTAAAAGAAGTGCCTTATATGATTACATTCGTATTCGAGTCTAGTTTCTAATGGTAAAAATGGAATAATTTTTAAATATGTATATTAATACAGAATAATACTTCTTTAAAGGTTATGCAAACTGCTAGAGTATAAAACTACGATAAAATTTGTAGTTGAAGAAATCGAAAGCAAAGTATTAACTTAAAGCTTAGTGAGCTAATATTTTGATTTATAAATAAAGTGTCAAAGTGAGTACAGTTAGTTTATTTAATTAACTTGATCAAGGATGAATGTGATAAGTCAATCTCGTAATTATTTTAAAGTATGTTTTCTATTTTAAATAAGAATTATTTACATAATGTTTGTATAAGTTTTATGGATGATTTGGGGTATGAACTGCCCGTGTTCTATTTGGACGACGATGAATTAAAAATGATTCTAAATTTGAAATATTGATTATGAAACAAATAAGATATGATCTGAAAGTCATTGTATGTTGCATTGAGAGTCGTAGGTACAATTGGCAAGTCATGAGGTGAAATGATTCTGATTATGATTCGGTACATTTGTATACATTATGTGTAGCACCGTTGGTGCAAATGATACGATTACACTTGGAGTGCATACTTTGATTATGATGGAAGCACTGAAGTGCTTATTGTGTACACTCGTCTGACTCACGTACCTTGCATTCTCGTACATATACATTGGGCTATAAATATGAAAGTTAAAAAATCCGAAAGGTAATCAAATAAAAATCGAATTTGGTTCAAATCTCGTTCGGGTGTACAGTGAATCGGGTCGGGTTTGGTATTGGGGTATGGTCAATTTTCGGGTCGGATGATTATCGAATCAGTTGTTTTCCTGTTCGGATCAATATCAGATCGGATGATTTTTAGATCGGGTCAATATCGGGAAGTCAATACCGGATCGATTGATTTTTGGGTCAGATTAATACCGATCGGTTAGATTTTGGGTTGGGTCAAATATCATATCGATTGATTTTCGGTTTAGGTCAACATTTAGATCAAGTCAATTCAGGTTGAATTGGTTATGAGTCTAATCAAAATCAAATATATATAGAATAATTAATATATACGTGTAAAACTATGTCTTCTTATTTGTTAATTTTATCATTTAGGTTTAATTTCAATTCTCAATCATTCAATATTTTGGATTAAATCATCATTTAGAGATGATAAATCGATAATTTGACACAAATACAATCCTATAATATGTGTTAGAATTTGTTTTCAAAATTTTATATTGATCTTGTATGAAAAATTTATAGTGAGAACTATTTGAAAGATAAATAAATTTTTATTAAAAGATTGTTTTCAATTATAAATTTAATATTAATATTAAATTTTAAAAAAATAATACATAATTTTATTTGTTTGTTAAGTTTTAGTCGTAGCATAAATAAACTTTATATTATTTTTATTATAAATCTAATATTATTTCTTTTGTTTAAGTTGTTTTCTATTATTTTTATTATAAATCTAATATTTTTATAACAAGTAAGATAAGTAAACTTTATTTTTAATAAATTATCAATTTTATTTAAATTAATTTATTATTATAAATAACTTTTATCGTTTAATAAGTTTTATCAATTTCAATCTATTCAGGTTGCTTTCGGATCAAGTTAAATTCGATTCGAATTGTTTTCAGATCGAGTTAAAATTCGATTCAGGTTTCTTTCGATTGGGTTAATCTTGGTTCGGGTTGCTTTCGGTTTAAGTTAATTTTAGTTCGGGTTGCTTTTGACTTTTGGTTCAAGTTAATTTCGATATCAGTTCGAGTTAATCTCAATAATGGTTGATTTTCATTTCGCTAAATTTTGGATCGGTTATGGGTCGGATATCAGATTAAAATTGATTATCATGTTTGGTAGTCGGGTATATCGACTCAGGTAATCGAATTCGGGTAAGTTTGCCAAGTCCACTCCATGCCATCTCCAAATGCAAACGGTATCCCCAACTCTTGAATAAAAATGAATCTACAAATTGACCTATTTACTACTATTAGAACAAAAAAAATATATTTTATTTTATATATATTGACTACAAAGATATTGATTCAGTCCGTACTGTCGATTGATGTTTTCATTGCGATGATAGATGAATCAGATTATCAACAAATATTAAATGTAGTGATAAGACACATTACTCTTACTGGAAATAGTTCTCACGCACCGCAAACATCTGAAAATGTTTTATTTTATTTTCATTTTTCCTACTTTCATGAGTGAATGATGGGAGCTTGAACTAGTTCAAAGTGAAGCAAAAAAAGGTGGTCCGAACGAACCAGTTACACTGCCACGTCAGGATAGATTACGGCCATTGATGTGAGGAGGGACGTTGGAGATGCCTTGTCTAGAGAGCTCAGCTAGCACACTATCAGTGGAAGGAGGCTTGAGGCCTAAAGGCAAAGGTAACCATGGCTTGTTTATTGCTTCCTTTACAACCTTGTCAACTACCTCCTCCGCCTGCAAATGCATTCGTCTCCGTGAAAATAAAAGTGAAAGAATCATACGTGAAGACATGCTGCCACATTCTTTCCGTAACGATACCGTGTCCCACGTGTAGGTTTAAACACATGTAATGGAACGGGTCGAAACTAATAAGCCTAACTAAAGATGGATTACCGGCTGATGTTCAACGGAATTTTGAGGCATGCCACTTCTGTTATCCACGGTGACAGAATAATGAAATGCAGATGCATTCTGCAGGTTGGTATTCAACGGAATACCAGAAAAAGATATTAAAATTCATTCATATACTTGACACATATATATATATATGTCCAAAAAGGATCATTATATGTATGTTGAGAACCACTCACTTGAGTGAACGTAGAAGAATATCCAAGAGGTGGGGGCATAACAGGACAACCCCATGCATCAGCATGCACCTGAATCATAAAAACGAAAAGGGAAAAAGATCACACCAAATATGTAGCTGCATTTCATATATTTTTCTATGCACTGTAACATGCTTGTTAATGGAGTCAGCAAAGAACTTAAAAAATATGAATTTGTGGACAATGATAAACTCACCCCTGGATATGGATTCCAATGCCAACTTTCAGGTGATTGCCAAGGGGGGTAACTATGTGAGCCCCACATCTGGATGCTGGATGAAAGGGGAGGTGGTCCCCACACGGGATAGGGTGGACCTACTGGGACAACATGACTTGAGTAATGTGTCGGGAAGGCCATGATCGGTTTATGTGGATAACAACTCCTTTGCATTTGATCTCTATGTGGCCACCTTCGATCCTCCTCCTTCGGCAAAATGTGCCTTCTTTGCATTCTATATTTCTGTTTCACAAACAACAGGCGAACCATTTTTAGCCAAGAGTAGAAAACTTATTCACCGGTGTTCAATCCGAGGAAGCAAAGAAAAGGGCAAAATCTGACAGTACTGTTATGTAAACAAGGTAAATGCCGTGTATATTGCAATGTCTTGTGTCTACATCCACTAAGATTAGCTAGAATAACAAAGGAAACCATTCTTTAGAAGAAAAAGTGTAACCGGAATTGAATTTTCATCAGGAACAAGCAGTGGACTACATAGTGAATGAAAAGCATTGGAATTGTACAATCAGATCGTGCGTTTATCAGAAAGGCAAAACTGATACCAACCTGGAGATGACTAGCAACATTATGCCGTGTCAAGCCTTCTACTTTCATTAGCTCCAGTATTCGAGACGGGATAGCTTGATCTATACCTAGTTGGTCCACTGCCTGTACAAATTTCTTGTGGAGTTCTGGAGTCCAGTCTACCTGAGAATTCAAACCCAAAAAAAGTACTTAACTAGTACACCCATATAAAATTGTATAAAAAAAATACTTAATCATAAATGGTCAAAGGAAATTAACCGATAAAAATTCGATGGGAACTCTTTTTCCATGTCTAAGCACGCTGAAAAAGTTGGGATATTAAGCATTAACAAAAATATTGCAAACAGTATAGCTTGATATATGATTCTAATCTATACTCCATCCAGCCTACTTCTTTCAACTTTTTCCTTGATTACGAGCAACAGTTACCCCGAGACTTGATCCTAGGGCTTATAACAATGGAAAAATGAAAAAGATAACATAAGTTAATGATAAACTTCCTCCTAAACTTTGTGATGTAATCTGAAGAACAAGATAATGGAAGCAACATGAAAAAACTAGAAGTAATCTTTGATGATGGCTGGTAAGCAGCTTTCTAAATGTCAAAGTTTTAAAATCTCAAAAACCGTTCAACCTAAGGGTTCAGTTTTGAGCAGAAACATGATGGAACTGTGGGGTAATGTGATGGTAGATAAGTGATTAGCAAATGCTCAGTAAGACGCGTTTCCTAAGCAGGTATCTGACAAAAGATAGTGGCAGGACTACTGGACAAGTGCAAGATATGCTGCAAGCGTAAGGGAGTGTTACCATAAGCCAAGTTCTTTTAAAAACTTGTTAACTTTTTCCAGTAAAAGACAAGGTATGAATTATATATACATATATATTACGAGCTAAATTACCTTCAATTTTTTCCGATTAGCTTTGTCTGGACAAGAACTACGAATACCAGAAACTGTATTGGGGTTTTCAGCAACAACATGACAATCTTTGTTATTTTCTCCGTTTTGTGTTTGAGAGCACAGGGAACTCTCGCCCTTGGTACCATGAACTATGTCGGCCTCCACTTTTACTCTTGTCCCCCTTGGTTCCTGGGGTTCGCCAAGGGGTGCAGTTACTTCAGCAATTGAATTGTCACTGGTAGTGTCAACAGATTTAGACTCTCCATCTTGCTCGCATCTCTCTTTTTCAGACGAGCAGTTAGTATGATCATGGCAATCCCCATCTGCTAACAGCCTTCCTCCCTTCTCTAGTGAGTACATATCACTTACTATTGATGGTTCAGGGTCATTTTCATGAGTCACAAATGCTTCATCAGCTTTATCCGAGTCTTCAATCTTAGGTTCTCCATTTTCCAATTGTAAATGCAGCATTGAAACCAAGGATTCTTTACCAGGATTTAGTGATTCAGAAAGGTCTTTTCCCGCTGCATTGAATGCCTGTAAAGGACTAATAAAATGAGAATTTATATAACGAAGTGCCTTAGACTCTTAGTTGCCATTCACATGTATATGCCAATGTAATTCAAGCAGTATCCAGATCAACCTTATGAACCACATGCTGCCATATATTCCGTAGTTTCTCCTCAGACAAAGGTTTCCTAAGAAACTCGACTGCTCCAAGCTGAAAATATGTTGGCAAAGTGTTAGCAATTATGGTGTGTGGAAAAGAATCTAGACAACACTATATGATTTCAGTCAGGATGACATGTACAATGAAACTTAAAAGTTCTCTAAAGAAAAAAAATTCATCGGAAAAATCCAATGTGTCTCTATGGACAGTGTACTAAGAAGAAGAAAGGATTAAGATGGTTAAGAATCTAAAATATTTTGATTTGAAAACTTGGTTCGACACATGTGCGGCAGAAAAAACATGAAAACTGCTCGGTGTATGGTACGCTGGAATAAATCTTACCGCTATGCACTTCATCATGGTGCTGATGCAATGAAAATTTGAAGTCACTGAAATGAGAACAATTTACAACAGCATTAAGAATCAGACAATAAGTCCAACAACCGTGATTTACTTTCACAGATGCCAATAAAAACTGTACAGGGTGATTAAACAGTGTTTCATATGATAGAATTTGAAGATCTACAGCAAAAAACAGGCAGGAGTAGTCTCCGAACTTACTAATGGTGGGCAAGTCCTTTGTGGTTTCAAGAAACTTGAAACCCCCATTGTTATTGTTTGTACTACTAACCTGCATCATACATGCGCCAGTTAGTATAAAGTGTCATGTGAAGGACCAATGTGGCAAAGGATTACTATCTATGACAAAGCAAAAGTAGCTTATGATTATATGATGTAAATTACAAGTTCCAGAACAAAGATCATGCTGAAAGTCTGTCTATAACCATGTGGTTACGACAAATCATCAACACTTGAAGCATGCATGTTGTAGAAATCATCAAAGTCCATTCATTACCTCTACAATGGCTACATGGAAACTTTCAGGCCTACTTAAAACTGCCAAAAGAGCTTCATTCTCGTCGCAGAAGGTATAAACTGCATAGAGATTCAATAAAACGGTAAAGAATATACCGTTTGCAAAATGAAACGGTAAAGAATATACATCTGTATTTCATTTTTCATAGATTTATTTCACTGATCAGGAGATCTTTAAAGGGGGAGAACATAACAGAACTGAAATAGGTATCCAGAACAGCTAAAGTCTGAAATTTGATATACTATTAAAAGAAAATTTTCTATACACAAGCCTTTTCCAGAAACCCCAAACCTTCAGCCCCACCCCATAAAAAGGGAAAAGAACGTTTATTCCTTTTCATCAAATTGAGTATTAAAATATTCCGTAGCTACAGAAACAATTAGCTTTTGTTACTTTAATTGTTCATGTGGAAGGGAAAATCTATTTATAGCAGAGGCAAGCTCAAGCAACAAATTGGCTCCTTTTTGTAGAGCTCATGGAAAGAACCAAATCCAACCAAAAACTACTAATCTAAAGCAATGGAGCTATAGCAGGTAGCAGATATGCTTTGAGGACAGAGATGGGACCAACATAGTTAAAAGAGAAAAAGAATAATCATGCGAAGTGAAAACAAAACGAAACTAATGACTTCTAATTCAGGTAAAAAAAAAGGTGGATTCTAAGTTCTAACCAATATAGTCCATTGCTTCAAGCTTTGATTTTAACTCGGCAGCTGAATCGCTGTCCTCATCGAGAAGAAGGACCTTGAGACCCTTTGGAAAATCCTTCCATGCTGATAAATCATCTGCAGTGCAAACCATAGCTTGTTTGGCATCCTTTCTTAGGGGGCCGACAAGTATTGCATTTTACTGCTTATCGAGATCCCTGCAATCACCACAAGAATTTTCCCATGAACAACAAAAATCAGCCAAATTAAACATGTTTTTGTGCTATTTAGTTACTGAAAACATATTGGAGAGACCCCATTGCAAATGCCAAGGTTTTTAACCCATAAAAAGGCTGTAATGAACAGAAATATCTTAATTAAATTCTACAGCATGATGGATTTGCTATGCATGCAACATGAGGTTGTTGATCATTTACCAAATCAAAACACTTCCATCTATAATTATTCGTGTAGTAGGTAATAAATGAGAATTATCGAAGGATCTTATCTTTTAAGAAACTACTGGACTAGTCTTGGACGACAAGAAGCAGACAAAATAACCCATCAAATTTCATCAGAACAAATTAAGCCTAACAACAACAACAAAAAATTGGAAGAAGAAAAAAAGCATGGGGATCATTTGATTCATACTACAGAACCAAAAACGATGATAAAAGAACGTGTCATGCATGGTAAGAAGAAACATCAAATATGCGCAAAATTTTTCAAGAAGAAGAAGAAAGGAAGACCCACTTTCAGTCGGTCTGTGAAAAGGAAGCTGCATGCAAAAAAGAAGAGTACAACCAAAAGATGAGGGAAAACCCAGAAAGTAAGGCGTTGGAGAATGACTATGTAGTTTAGGGCATAAACAAGATTTGTATTTCTCGTCTCAAGTCTTTGTTGTTTCAACTACTACAAGTTCTTCCATTTTGGATGGCATATAGAAAGATTTAAGGCTGAAAATAATGGAATAAAAATGTAGACATATAATTGCGTCCTCTGATAGAAGAGGGTGTCGGTCTTTGTGTAGTGAACAGTTACTGTTAATCTCTTGTAGACCACATAATATAAAATAATAAATAAATGCTTTATTTACAACTTTTTATCCCCAAAAACTAAAGGTTCAAGGTTCTTTTATTCGTCGAGGTGACTTTAGGTCATTTATTGAAGTTTTTCTGGAAATAAGCAATTGGGATCTTCATCTTCCTAGTAGGTTACGTACCAAATGTCTATACTACATAGGGGGTGTGCAAATCCGGTTATTCGGATTTTTAGGTATCCGAAAACCGGATACCCGAAATATATGGGTCATTGATTTTTTAACCCGTGTTTCGACCCGGATATTTCGGGTATCTAGATTTTGGATACCCAGATTTTACGGGTACCTGTATGTCGGGTACCCGAATACCCGGTTTTTTTAAATGTTTTAAAAAATAATTATTTAATTTAATATATAATATTATGTTAGATAAAAAAATCTCATATATTAAAATGTTCTAAAATAATAGTTGTTTACTTTAATTTAATATATAATAGTTGTTTACTTTAATTTTAGGCACTCTTTTTTATATATAAAATAATATTATATTATTATATATACTCGAATACCCGGTGTTACTTTAAAATATTTTAAAAAAAAGTTGTTTACTTTAATTTAATATATAATATTACTAATAATTAAATATATAATAATAGTAAATCATAAATCCAAATTTCAAATTCAAAGTTTTCAAAATGCAAATTAAATAATATTTTAACATCCTATCTTTCTAATTTTAGGAGCCTTTTGGACGTGATCATTGTTAGCCCAATAAGCACAAATGTAGTATTCATAAGTCTGGGAATGAATATTTCAAGAAACAATAGTGCAGAAAAGCTTGAAAAAACAACAAGCTAACAGGGTACAGGTTTACCCGAGTACCCAGAAAAATCAATTTTTGTGATCCGGGCCCGACCCGGAAAGTATCGGGTCGGGTACCCGACCCGGCCGGGTATTTTTTAAAAGAAAATTACCCGATTTTTTTTATCCGGGTCGGCAGGTCGGGTCAACCGGATCGGGTAATTTTGCACACCCCTAATACTACAGTATTATTCTATTAAAAAAGTTTAAGGACCATAATAATAACTAAAATGATATTAACATGATATAAGATACATAAAATAAATAAAATTTAACACGATTTAATTTTATTTATCTTAATAGATAAATAATAATAATTAAATTATAAATAATACAAATACATAATATTTCATATATTTTTAAAATCTGAAATATTTCAAATTACTATGTCGATTTTACTACAAAACTCATCATACAATATAAACTTCAAAAATTATAAAAATCTAAATAGAGTAACTAAATTGTTTGATATTAAACCGTAATTTATCTCAGAAAATTATACCATTTCAGTTGCTCTATCAATATTTGTAATTTAATAAAATTTGGGATAAACTATATAGGTAGCCATCAAATTATTAGTGTATTTTTATTTTGGTCATCAAAGCAAATCTTTTAAATTTCATTACCCGAGTTATAAAATTTTATCATTTGGTTATCTTTTTTTTGGTGAATTTATCATTTGGTTATCTTTGTTAAATAATTAATATAATTACTATTTTTAATTTTTAATTAGTGTAATAATATAATTATTCATTCTATCAATATAACTTCAATTTTAAATTATATAATAAAGTTAATTTCTTGAATTATAAATTTTATTAGCTTGACCCTCAAACTCCTCACAAAGGAGGATTATTTCTTGAGAAAATAACCTCAGTGACCAAAAATCCCATATAATATACGATTTTAACCAACTTTTTCTGGATTTGCCAAAATGACCAACAAAATCGCAATGCGATCGCTAATTCGCAACGCGATCTCCATTATCGCAAATCAGTTTCCAGATTCGCAAAGCGATTATTACTATCGCAATGCGATTTTCCAATTTCGCGTTGCGATTTTCCCAATTCGCAATGCGAATAAGTAAATCACAATGCGAATTTGGAAAATCGCAATGCGATACTGACTATCGCAATGCAATTTTCCTAATTCGCATTGCGATTTACGTATTCGCGTTGCGATTTTCATAATTCGCAATGCGAATACGTAAATCGCAATGCGAATTAGGAAAATCGCAATGCGAATACGTAAATCGTAATGCGAATCAATGCGAATCTGACTATCGCAATGCGATTTACATAGCGCCATTCGTATTAACGCGTATTTTTTTTCAAATTCCAAACATGAATTTTTTCTTAATATATCGGAAATTGAACCGTCCACAGTAATCGCAACTCATAACCTCAAACCTAAAATCACAACACTCAGTCCCATCTCCATCTCTCACTCTCTACGGCGAAATCCGTCCCCATCTCCGAAGATTTCCGTCCCCATCGCCGGCGAAATCCCTCACAACCATTCACGGTCAGAAATCCCTCACAATCATTTAGAAATGGAAAATCAACCTCCGATGGTTAGTTTTTTTAATTATTTTTATTTTGAAATTTTTGCATTATTTTAGGTTTTTCATATTGAAATTGATGATAAGTTTACTGGTAATTTCAATAATAGATTAACCATTTCACTTAGATTTCTTATTAAATTCATTCGATTGCTGCCAATACTGCTAAACAGTTTAGTATTTAACCCTATGAAGTTAGTATTTGTCTTTGTTTTGTCTTTTGGTTGAAGTAATGCAGAAGAAGAATAGTTTCGAGAATGAAAATCGCAACGTGGAAATGACTATCGCAACGAGAGAATCGCAACGCGAAATAAAAATCGCAACGAGATAATCGCAACGCGAAATGAAAATCGCAACGAGATAATCTCAACGCGAAACCAAAATCGCATTGCGATTTTCATTTCGCGTTGCGATTCTCTCATTGCGATAGTCATTTCCGCGTTGCGATTTTCATTCTCTCGTTGCGATTTTCATTTCAACCAAAAGACAAAACAGTGTTGCAAATTTTAGTTTCAAGAATAAACTACTATTTATGTTTATTGTTTTTGGTATATCTTCACAATGTAGTTTTTGGTATATCTTCACAATGTAGTTTTTGGTATATCTAACTTGGTATGTTTATTGTTTTTGTAGAAATTTTTTTCGGCTTCATTGACATTAAGGAATAAAGTTAGCCTAGCCACTACAATTGCTTCAAAGCTTTCACCTGCATAAAGAAAATTGTTTGAGGAAACCTGCTTCGGGCCATGGCTGAGAGTACAGCATCCGGGTGGAGATGCTAATTTGACTTATTTGTGGCTTCAGACCATGACTAGCGATCTACCCGACAGTATACAACGTGGTGAGGAAGAGATATGGTTTCATTTTCCACTGGCGTATACTTGTTTTGGGCGGAAGGAGTTCTGCTTAATCACTGGTCTACGATTCGGACACGATGATGTAGGCCGGTACACTCGTCATATCACCCGCCCATCATGGTTATCCAGGGTTTTTCCTGATGAGTCAATAGAGAAGCCGAACTTACACGTCGACGACATGAAGAAATTGTTTAATAAGAAAGATGGTTTTACTCGGATGAATGACGTCGATGTTGTCCGAGTATGCCTTCTACTACTTTTGTATGCCGGCTTTTTAGGCAGAGAGGCCAGACAACCTATTCCTCATGAGCTAATATTATTGGTAGAGGACCTAAATGCATGGAATCTGTTTCCGTGGGGTTCGTATATATGGAAAGCTACCTGGACTAAGTTGTCGTCTGCCTTTGATGACCGCAAAAGTTTACGGGGCGATGGGTCAAAATACACTTTGTCAGGCTTTGTTTGGGCCTTTAAGGTAAGAATTGCTATATAATGTTTTCAAAATTATAATTAATTATTTAACAATTACTAATGTTTGTTTTTATATTGTTTGTAGATTTGGATATTCGAGGTTTTCCCCAGTATGCGGACATATGCATTAAAAACCTCAAATGATATTCCTAGGGCTATTTCCTGGAAGAGGAAACATCTGTTGGATTAGGAAGACTTAATACCATATGCGACAATAAATAATGTAAGTTAACACAAATACTATCATATATAAACAAGTTATTAATAGTAGACATTTAACTTTGTTTGAGTTTTTATATTTTTAGGAGGCCAACACTCCATTAATGAGACTGACACCCATGGAGGCTGAGCTTGCCACTGATTGGTGGTAAGCTAGTCAGCGTTTTCTTGATGGCACGAATGATGAGCAACCTCCACTTCGAGAGCCATCACCTTACCCAGAGACATCACCTGATCGACCCGACTATACACCTCTACAACGAGAGCCATCACCTATCCCCTCACATCATCGAGCCTCTTCTCCACCATCAACTCATGATAGGTGACCGACAAAGATACCACGACTTCTATATCCCTGTTCTCCACCTCCACGGGATGAGTCAAGGGAGTTACGTAATGAGGCCAATGCCTTGCGTGAGGAGATCGGTACTCTACGCGATAACGATGGTGCATGGCGTGTGGAGGTGTCTACTTTACGTGGTGAGGTTGCCGCTCTACGTGAGATGGTAGTATCGTTGCAGAATGAGGTTCATACTCTACACAACGAGGTAAGTTTAAGATTTTCCATATTTAACTTGATGATAAATTTACTCGTAATTTCACTTAGATTAACCATTTCACTTAGATTGCTTAGTAAATTTATTCGGTTGCTGCCAATACTGCTAAACTGTTTATTAACACTGTGAAGTTAGTATTTGTCTTTTGTTTTGTCTTTTGGTTGAAGTAAATTTATTCGGTTGCTGCCAATTCTGCTAAACTGTGTATTCTTTAACAATGTGAAGTTAGTATTTGTCTTTGTTTTGTCTTTTGGTTGAAAGTAAATTTGTTCGGTTGCTGCCAATTCTGCTAAACTGTGTATTCTTTAACACTGTGAAGTTAGTATTTGTCTTTGTTTTGTCTTTTGGTTGAAAGTAAATTTGTTCGTTTGCTGCCAATTGAAACTATTCTTCTTCTGCAAATTGAAACTTGAATGAATTGCATTACTTCAACCAATAGACAAAGA